ATCAGTGTTTTCATTTTCTTTGGATAAATATCCAATAGTGGAATTAATGGATCATATGGTAATTCTATTTTTAATATTTCAAAAAACTTAAATATAGAGAACAAACTGGTGGTTGCCAGAGGGGAGGTAGGTGGGAGGACTGGCGAAACGGGTGAAAGGGATTAAGAGTATACTTATCATGATAAGCCCCGAGTAATGTGTAGAATTGTTGAATTATATTCTACAACTGAAACTAATATAGCACTGTATGTTAATTATACTTGAATAAGAAACATTAAAAAGAGTGAATATAACCCAAGGACTTTGAATTGTTTTCTGGGGAAAAATTTAGCATATTTTTGGTTATATATGAGACACTGTATCATGTTCAATGCAAAATATGAGTTTGTTATTATCTTCCTGTGTGGATTGAGTGCGGATTAAGGAGATCTGCATAGGTGACAAATTAGCAACGGGTGAACTGTCATCATCAATGTTATGTGTCAACTTAAAATCAGCTTCTGCTTGAGAGATTTCAGCCTACAAATTTACATATATATTCATACATTAATATATATGTATATAATCATATATATATAATCAAATATACACACACACACATACACACACACACACACACATATATATTTAATCAAAGGGGTGGGAATCATTCTGGTTCTTTTTCTCTGTTGGAGCTCTGACCAACACAGAGATATAGCCAATCTGAAAAATTTGTAACACTGTGTTCAGAGTTCTTTTCATTGAATATTATGGTATTGAAATAAAATTGTATTAAAACATTAAAGAGCATAGATTTGTATTCATTCTTCTTCGGCCTAATTCTTAACATTACTGAGGATTTCACTATTCACAGGATTCTCCCTACCCCCATCATCATGTCCAAGAACTAAAATATCAGACAGTTGATCATCTGCCTTTGCTTATATTTAGAATTCTAGAAAGAGTGTAGGTGAGATTTTCCTCTTTCCAATTTTTAAGTTTTTTTTTTTTAAGAGAAACAGAGTGTGAGCGAGGTAGAAGGGAAGAGGGAGAGAGACACAGAGAGAGAGAGAGAATGTTAAGCAACGTTCCTACTCAGTGCAGAGCTTGATCTCATATACGTGAGATCATGTGAGCCGAAATCAAAAGTTGGTAGTTCAATTGACTGAGCCACCCAAGCTAAGATGGCAGAGAAGTAGGGGGACCCTGGGCTTTCCTCATCCCCCAAACCAAGCACCTCCAATTTTTTAGGTTTTTACATAGTTTCGGTGTTTAATGTATTTATAGATGCTGGCATAGGTACACATTTATCTAACGAAAATTAGTGGGTCCAAATTTCTGGAGTAACTAAATATTTTTCTTCAGCACTTGGTGATATTATGTGTCTTATGCTGACTTTACTTGTGTTCATTCAAGATACAGTGTGTTAGTGTGTAATGGATATAAAGTATTGGATATAATTTAATATAATATGTCAAATAGGTACAAGGACAAATTAGAATTGTCAGACAACTGTCAAGAAAAAATGTCTCTAAATTATATTTGAGGCTTTCTATAGTTGTGATAATGCTTCCATGCCATTCGCATTGAATGTAGATTTCTATGATCACTGGCAAGGGATAAGCTGAGGGGAATACTGTTCAATATGTTGCAACTTCCATAAATCTTTGTAGGAGTTTATTGATTTGAGTTGTGCTAGACATACAGTATTTCCTGTCTCATAATACCAGTAGACACAAAAGGTAAACCAAATAATCCATCAAATCCTTTAATTTTTTTTCTGTTATCCAGTAAAGGGTGGATGGGTGGGAGATAAGCTAGAGTTTTAGTATCAGTAATACTTTGTATATGATTTCTTCTATGATTACCTACCCTGGTAATATAGCATATTTGAAAATACAGAATATTTGAAATAACATTGATATGGTTTTTCATGTAAGAAGATATGAATAGTCATCCATTTGAACTCTTTTCCAAATTAATTACACAGTTGACACTTGAACAACATAGGTATGAACTGTGCAGATGCACCTGGCTATTTTTTCGATAAATGATATACAGTACTGCAAATGTATTCTTCCTTATGACTTTCTTAATAATATTTTCTTTTCCTAGTTTATTTTATTGTAAGAAAACAGTATGTGCTACATATAATATTCAAAATAAGTGTTAATCAACTGTTTATGCTGTCAGTAAGGATTATGGTCAATGGACTATTAAGTAGTTAAGATTCAGGAAGTCAAAAGTTATGCGTGAATTTTTGACTGCACTGTGTTGGTGCCCTAATCTGCACATTGTTTAAGGGTCAACTGTATCCCTGAGCATTGTTTTTTTTTTTTTTTTTTTTTTTTTTTTTTTTTTTTAGTGAAGAAAAGAAATAATGCTACCTTTTCAGAAATACTGCATGTAAAGTGACTAACAGAGTTTTGGTACATTCTCCATAACTAGTAGTGTGTTTGTTTTTTAAATTGACCATTCTCTATTTTCTTTGTTTTTGAAAGGAAAATCTTTCCTCAAATGTCTTCTCAGTGGAAATGTAATTGACAGAACATAAAAAATAGGTAAACCAAAGGAGGAAATTTAGCACAATTTGAACAGCTTCATTGGCCAACCTAGAAACTCTCTGTCCAATTTTAGGCAGAGATTTATTTAATAAGAGTATTATTTCCTAAGTACTCAAAAAGCCATCATCACTCAATGATCAGTATGTTCTTGTTTATGTATGACCCTGTACAGTAGTAATAAAAAGTTGAATTCTCCATCTATGACAGTTTATTTTGGAGGATGTTTCAAAGGTAAAAGATGTTACAGCACAATAGAAAGCAATGTCTTATTTGGCAATCTTTAAGGTCAGGTTATTTATCATAAGCTATTAGAATTTGGGGGAAGACATAATAGCAGGCTCTGTGATTAAATGGTGATAGCTCTTTGAAACAATGAAGGCGGATAGCCAATAAAATTGAACAAGTGTCCCAACATGGTAGTTAGGGAAAAATTGGAGGTGAGGAGAAAGTCACCACATAAAGTATGAGTCTCTAAAATCATTTAAAAGTAAAGACAATGATATCTTTCTCTTAATTTTACTGTAAGAATTCAAATTCCACAAAACATGTGAGAAGTCAATTGTAGTATTACTCATACACACTCCTCAAGAAAGTAATTATAAATGATTATGATTATTTTTTAATTAAAAAATTTTTTTAACATTTATTTATTTTTGGGAGACAGAGCATGAGCATGGGAGGAACAGAGAGAGGAAGAGACACAGAATCTGAAGCAGGCTCCAGGCTCTGAGCTGTCAGCACAGAGCCCAATGTGGGGCTTGAACTCACAAACCACGAGATCATGACCTGAGCCGAAGTCAAGACGTTTAACTGGCTGAGCCACCCAGGTGCCCCTAAATGATTATGATTCCTAAGTAAGCAAAAGGTTGCTGGGAAACAGAGGGAGTTCACAACAGTTTAATAATAGTAATTCATTCAAAACTATAATGCATATACTCCATACCAGGCATTGTTTTAGGGTCTAGAAAGTAGTGACTAGGAAAAGCATAGTTAACAAACCAGACAAAAATCCTTTCTCAAGGAACTTAAATTTTAATGGAGGGGCATACATAGGAAATTAATTAATTAGGTAATTATTAAGGAATGAAATAGAGTACCTCTGATGATAATAAATGATACCAGGTAAAACATGCCAGGGAAAAAAGTTGGAAAGGGGCATGGCTTATACATATAAATAAAGAGATCGAAGTTTTCTAACAGAAATGGCAACAGAGCAATGACCTGGAAGAGGTGAAATATAAAGCCAACAATAACACTAGTAATAATACTGTATTTAGCTGTATTTTAGGATTTTCTTTCACATTTTTTTTGAAACTGGCATTAATATACAGGTTACATTTAGTCCCTTAGCTAATCTTTACAACAGTCCCATTTTCACAAATTAGGAAACTAAAATTTAGAAAAGTAAATTAACTTACTCAAGGTCACAAAGCTAGCCTGCTGTGAAGTTGGAATTTGAACCTAAGATTATTAGACCGAAGTCTATGCTGCTAACAAATGCAGCACACTTCGATAAGAGAATCAGACTTACAAAACATAAAACTTCTTCAGCCTTTTCATATATGGATATCTGTGTTGAAAACTCAGAAAAAAAGGCAATCTTCATATATTTCCTATGGATGTGACATTTCCTATTTGACAAATTTGCTTAGCTCTACCTTGCAATTTCTTTGGCTTTATTCTTTTTACAAAGCATCATACTACCTCATAAAAACAAACAAATGAACAACACAAACCAAAAACTTCTGAAAGACTGATTATCTTCCTTCCTTCCAGTTCTTCCCATCATGTTCTTTGCTTCTTTACCTGTGACTATTAGGAGAAAAAGCTGATTATATAAGGAGACTATTCTTTCCTAAAACTCCACACAACTGAATGGCTCAATTGGAAAGTTGTAGAATATATATATATTTTTTTCTTCTCTGGAGTGTGAGGACCCAATTAATTATTGATTGAGGAATTTTAATTTAACCCGGAAATGCTGAAATGTTGGTGTCTACCCCTAGGCTTATTTCAAAGGTAATCATTTTAAAATGCAAATTTTCCATCAATATGTTAGGAACATGACTAAATATCTGTTAATGAATGGACAAAATGTAATATGTTCCAATGTGAGGCAGGTTACAAAATTACATTATGATTTAATGTTGATAGCGAATTACATCCAATAATAATGACAATTGGGAACCAGAACATAACATTACTTGATGAAAATTAGATGACCCCTTATAAATAAATCATATTTAAACATTTATATTAAAGGCATGAAATATTTGTTCATGACATTGTTGCTGTAAATATTTTTCTATTAATCTTGTAGTGATCGTGCCATTGGATTATAACTTATACTGAAGTTTGGCATTACTAATTTTTGTTTGCAAAATAATACTATTTCCAAATGAGGGAAATAAATTTTAGTGAGTTCAATTTTGATAGTTTGGCATCTCTGTTTTGCAGCAGGCTGGAGCTGAGCAGCATTGGGTCCCCCAGAAGTTCCCACCTGTGGCTTGGGAGTCTATCCATACGAGACCCAGACATGAGGACCCATCCCAGAAAGCCTGAATGTCCAGACATGAGGCATGTGCATGCACATTTGTCATGCATCTAGGCCCTACAGGACTGTGTGGATAAGAGCCACCCCCACCCACCAGTCTATCTTTCTGTCACCAGCAATTAACCCACACTGCACTTCTGATGCAGTGCCTGGAAGGGTTCTTATAGGCAGCATTAAGCAGAATTTAGAAGGTTTTGCATTTTGTAGTATATATCAAATATGGCAAATCTCAGAATAAAACATCTTAAAATATGCCATAATGAGGATGCAACATTGCCTGTGTTGTTTGTTGTTGTTGTTGTTGTTGTTGTTGTTTTTAAATGTCCTCACTGAAATGATGTTATCAGTATGCGATGAATTTACGTTTCATAATATTATACGATGCTTTCACCCAGGAAGGTTTCACACTTGCCAGGTATGGTGCCTTGAATGGTAGCCCCCAAGATAGGTCCATGCCAAATCCCTGGAATATATAAATGTTCCCTTATTTGGAAAAAAGATTATTCACAGATGGAAATAAATTAAGAATGCTGAGATGATGAGATCATTGTGGCTTATGCAAGTCAGTCCTGAATCCAATGGCAGCTGTCCTTCTGGAAGACACACAAAGGAGAGACACACAGAAGAGGAAGTGGCAATGGAAATATTTGATTGATATGGCCACAAGCCAAGGAAGCAAAGGGATGCCAACAGCTGCCAGAAGCCAGAAGAGGCAAGGAAGGATTCTAGCCTACATTAGCCTTCAGAATAATGAGAAAATAAACTTACATTGTTTTAAGCTGCCAAATTTGTGGTAACTTATTATAGCAACCACAGGACCTTAACACAAGTTCTCAAACTTCAGGTACACATCTTTCATCCCTTGGAGTTAAGGAAGCCTCTTTCCTTAGCTTCCCACTATTGCCAAAATGGGCTAACAATAGGACTACATGTAAAACTGAAACTATGGACTAGAGATCTTCCTGAGTTATGATGGGGTTACATTGCACTAAACCCTTTACAAGTTGAAAATATCCTAATTAAAAAACGCATTGAATACGCCTGGCCTACTGAATGTCATAGCTTAGTCTAGCCTAACTTAAACATGCTCAGAACACTTAGATTAGTTTACAGTTCGGAAAATTCATCTAACACCAAGCCTATTTTATAATAAAGTGTTGAATATTTCATGTAAGTTATTGAATACTCTACTGAAAGTGAAAAAACAGAATGGCTGGATGGGTACAGAATGGTTGTAGGTGTATGGTTGTTTGCTCTTGTAATCATGTGGCTGACTGAGAGCTGTAGCTCACTGCCACTGCCCATAAGACACTATCTGCATACTACTAGTTCAGGAAATCATCAAATTTCAAAATTTGAAATGCAGTTTCTACTAAATGAGTGTTGTTTTCACACCATCATAAAAAAAAAAAAACAAAACTGCAAACTGATCCATCCTAAGTTGGGGACTGTCTGTAGTTATCTTCAATAATTGTCTAATTACTGCCACTATGAGTGTCCAATTTGCTGGTAGCAGAGAGCATGTGCAACAGCCTTTTATATGGAAACATTGCTCAAGGAGGCTAGTTAGCCATTAAGTGACATGGAGATTATAATGGGGCCTTTTTAGGAACATTGATCCATCCTTACAAGAATAGAGACCTACTCTGGATTTGTGTTTACCTTCCTTGCCCAGAGGCCCCCTACAGCATTATTGTCTCTTTACTTACAAAATGAATAATATATCATCATGGAATTCCACATGATATTGACTCATATAAAAGAAGAGTTAGGACAATGGGTTCTTGACAATGCTATCATATAATCTTACCATATGCCATGTGCATATTCTCATATACAATACCCAAAGGCAGTTGATCATAACACAATGGCCTGATAAAGGTCCAGCAAAGATGCTGCTTCAGGAATAACTCCCTTCAGTGTTGGTTTGTTGTCTTTTAAGATGTGGTATATTTGCCAAATAATTGCTAATATATGGCTCTGGAATAAACAGGTGAAGGAGCCGGGAGAGAGAGGTAGTCCTGGATGCCACACCATTACTCCCACTGACACACTTCTTGAATTTGTTTTGCATTCCCACACCTTAGAGTCAACATGACTGAGTTGATTATTTCCACAAAATACATTGTTCTTTCAAAGGTTAACTGAATATTCCACTAAACTTAAAGTTAATACTGTCTAATGGATATATTGGGTACTCTAACCCAGCTGACTGAGAAAGAGATTACTGTACCAACAAACAAAAAGTCCTATTCTTGAACTCAGGGATTAATGGATGTGGCTCTTGGCATTTCCATACACAGTGATGATGGCAAATGGGCAATTTTAAAGAATTGTTGCTTAATAAAGGTAAGAAACCTAAAGCTTAAGGTAATTCAGAGATAAAACTGTGTCTCAGTACCAGACAAGCGGCCAAAGCCAATCAAACTTCAGATCAAGAATGAGAAAAACTAGAGAACAGTAAAGGAATAATGTGGCAAATATCAGTTATGGCTTTGGGATGAGCTGCAGAGACATGAGCTACAGCTACCAAATCTGTGTAGTTTTTCATAAATTGAGGCTGAACACCACTTTGTACATAATTACTTTTACTTTTATCCTTGCCCTGGAAAGGAAGTGAGCATCTTGTTTCCATGAATTATAGGCATTCTATTGTAATACAGGAGCTAAATGTAATGGAAGAGCAAATAGGAATTCGTGTGATGAAAGAAATGAATTATGTCAGAAACTTCTTTCTGCATAGGGCAAATGAATAAACATATTATATTCAGGACACAAAGTTTTCATTGTGGGAGAAGGATGATGTAAATGTGAAATGGGGAAAGAAGAGAAAAAATCATGCAGTGCTGGATTCAGTGTACAGTATCAGTAGGAACTTGCAATTTTTTACAAAAACATTTTCCCAGTTCTATTTTCTGAATTATTCTATATAATGCCACTCATGGATTAGCATACCTAGTGTCTAAAATTGGTATCTAAATAACTTAAATAAACCAAGGCTCCTCAGAGAAATGGCTGATCCCGGGCCTTGGGCAGGGAAAGTATGAGGGAGTCTGGCACAACATATTTTGCTAGAAAGTAAGATAGTATTCAAAGAATAGGAACATGACAAAATGAAATGATACTCTTGTTGCCCAAATTTGTAACAACCATTAAGACAATGTTCTTTACCCAAATGTCCAAACATAATGTTACTAATGAATTAAAATTAAAAAAAAATGAACAAATGGAATCCATGAATACACAACAATATAAATATATAGGAAAAGTTATTTCCTAAAATAAAATACAAACTAAATAAATGTAGAAGTAATGGTGGAATTAAGTTATCATCAATTGTCACAGGCACCTGAGTGGTTCAGCTGGTTAAGCATCTGACTCTTGATTTTGGCTCAGGTCATGGTATCACATTTCATGAGTTTGAGCCCCACATCAGGCTCTGTGCTGACAGCATGGAGCCTACTTAGGATTCTCTCTCTCCTTCTTTCTCTGCCCCTCCCCTGCTCATGCTCTCTCTATCTAAAATAAATAAAATTTAAAAAAAAGCAGGAAGATAATCACCAATTGTCAACTAACAAAAATAATTAATTGAGACAATACTCATTCTATTAATAATTGATGAAGTTTTTTTGGGTGATAGTGGGGATCAAGGAGTCCGGAGCCAATGCCCAAGAAAGAATTCTTGGAGGTGTCTTTAGTGCAAAAGGTGATTTTATTGAAGCATGGGGACAGGACCCGCGGGCAGGAAGAGCTGCCCCAGGACCAGGAGGAGAGACAGGTTTTACACTATGAGGTTGGAAGTGAAGTAAAGTCCAGGGGAAGTTTCCAGTGAGATTTTCATATGGTGAAGAAGACTCAGGATAGTAGAGGCCTAGCTATTGTCAAGCTAGGGTTGTTTTTCCCTCTAGCAAAGCATTAGCATTAAGACAGTAAGGAGTTCCTGGAGAAATGTTTTACTCTTCCAGCCTCAAGTATTTGTCAATGGGCTGCAGGTTATAAGGAAATTTAGTTCTATCTGCCATTTTCTTCTGCCTTTGTTTCCCACATCACTATGGAGGGATCACATAGGTCCTGCAGGACTATGATCTCTATCAGTTAAACATTTGTTTTTCTCCTTTTCTTTGTCCTTGGGCAGCCAGGAGTGCCAGAGAAATATCACACATATCCCACCTGGAGGGCCTGTCAGCTTGCCTTATGCTGCCTCATCAATAATCATCAATTGAAGCTATAATAAGTAAATGAACATTTGTAGAGGAACAGTGTATCTCCATGTTTATAATATTTATTAATTAAAAGGGAAAACTTTTAACTTTTACAAAGTAGTTTTGTTTAGATCCTTAATATAAGCTTGTTAATATATTTATGGAGGTGTCCAATTCTGCCATGAGTTATCCTATATAGATTGTTATTGCCATTATGACAATAAAGATAATAAACTTTGGACATAAGGGCAATTTTCTTGATAATGAAAATGATGTTGATGTTGTTATAGCTAGTTTCATCATCTACACATTTTTTGTTTCAAACTCTTAAGCCAACAAATCCACAAGTTTTTTAGCATTATATAAAGACATTTTAGGTATTTCTGGCAATTTAATGCTATTGATATGTCAAACTACGGAACTCAGGAAAATGTGAATTTAAGATAAAACAGTGTCTACTGATAGATTACATTTAATTTGTGACTGTGAAAGAATTATTTTACTACCTTTACTACCTGCTAAAAATTATAACATGGAAATACGTATTTTTTAAATGTCACATAAAAAGCAAATGCATAAAGTCACGATCTTCACCCATATGAAAAGCAGGCATGATGTTCACATCATTTTTATTCTGCTCAACTCAAGGATGCTGATGGAAATATCTTGTCAGAGTAAGTAAGCTTTCTTACAGGCACCATTAAACACATAGAATGAAGCAGAGTCATTGGTAGGGATCACACAGAACCTCTCACTTCTTTGTGATGCTATTTCTCATTTAGAGAAAGCATCTCTATTATAAAGAGACAGGACTATAATAGCATTACCTAGCTGAAAGGGAGATCCAAGATAGATCACTTTACTTCAATTCCTCCTTTACAAAATATTCTCATAACATCTATAGTGCCACACTTGACATTTTTTTTACCTAGGTTGTGACTGCTCCATTGAGTAAATTGGACCAAAAATATTAAAAGATCCATCATTTAAAATACAATTCAATCATAGCTAAAACAAAATTCAAGACATATTTTGATGTCAAAGTGGTTTTGTGCTTCAGTGACTCCACTTTTTGGGTGTAAATTAGTGTGCCCTTTAAAATAGAAAGATCTTTTCTTCTAAAACAAATACCTAAAATATTTGTTATCATTACTCCTCTTAACTAGCATCTTGTTTCGTGTATGCATGCGCTACTGACTATAATTCTCTATAGTTGTATAATAGGAATTACGTGAGTATTATCAACTTAAAATTCAGAATAATGCCCAATTAGCACCCACTGACATAACTGTATTAAGGTTTATGAAGCCTGATGGTTACTCGATCTGCGGCGCTCTCTAAAAGAAAAAGAATGCAAAACTGCAATATAAAACACATGTTTAGCACATGTTAAATTTTAAAACTTAGATATTATTTTCTGGAAGAAAGAACAATATGGAGAAGGGCATGGGAATACAATTTATGTACACAACAGATTAGTCTGGTACTTATGAAAGGAGGAAGCAGGGCGTGGAAAGATCATTTGGGGACAGC